TTAGACAGGGATGTGTAATGTCACCATGGTTGTTTAATACATTTATAGATGGGGTTGTAAAAGAAGTAAATGCTAGGGTGTTTGGGAGAGGGGTGGAATTAAATTATGGAGAATCAAATACAAAATGGGAATTGACACAGTTACTTTTTGCTGATGATACTGTGCTTATGGGAGATTCTAAAGAAAAATTGCGAAGGTTAGTGGACGAGTTTGGGAGTGTGTGTAAAGGTAGAAAGTTGAAAGTGAACATAGAAAAGAGTAAGGTGATGAGGGTATCAAATGATTTAGATAAAGAAAAATTGGATATCAAATTAGGGAGGAGGAATATGGAAGAAGTGAATGTTTGCAGATGTTTGGGAGTTGACGTGTCAGCGGATGGATTTATGAAGGATGAGGTTAATCATAGAATTGATGAAGGAAAAAAGGAGAGTGGTGCGTTGAGGTACATGTGGAGACAAAAAACGTTATCTATGGAGGTAAAGAAGGGAATGTATGAAAGTATAGTAGTACCAACACTCTTATATGGGTGTGAAGCTTGGAGGCGGTTGGAGGCAGTGAATATGTCCTGTCTAAGGGCAATGTGTGGTGTAAATATTATGCAGAAAATTCGGAGTGTGGAAATTAGGAAGTGTGGAGTTAATAAAAGTATTAGTCAGAGGGCTGAAGAGGGGTTGTTGAGGTGGTCTGGTAATTTAGAGAGAATGGATCAAAGTAGAATGACATGGAGAGAGTATAAATCTGTAGGGGAAGGAAGGCGGGGTAGGGGTCATCCTCGAAAAGGTTGGAGGGAGGGGGGTAAAGGAGGTTTTGTGGGCGAGGGGCTTAGACTTCCAGCAAGCGTGCATGAGTGTTAGATAGGAATGAATGGAGAGGAATAGTACGTATCTGGAACCTGACGAGCTGTTGGAGTGTGAGCAGGGTAATATTTAGTGAAGGGATTCAGGGAAACCAGTTATTTTCATATAGCCGGGCTGGAGTCCTGGAGATGGTAGTTTGAAGGGATATGTTGTGTATCTTTATACGTATATGCTTCTAAATTGTTGTATTCTGAGCACCTCTGCAAAAACAGTGATTATGTATGAGTGAGGTGAAAGCATTTTCTTTTTGGGGATTTTCTTTCTTTTTGGGTCACCCTGCCTCGGTGGGAGACGGCCGACTTGTTGAAAAAAAAAAAAATTATATTTTCTTCATTCGAGTCTCCCATTTATACACCTCAATCATATTCTCCCTAATTCTGCTAAGTCTTTCCAGAGTGATGATCCAGTGCCCTCAGCCTATCCTCATACAAAAGATTTCTGACACGTGGAATCAACTTTCTCCTTATATAAATTATTTAAAAAACCGATAAGTACTTATTTTCAAGACTGATGTCCTGAACACATCAACTCCAGACTAAGGGACTGATTACCTCAAGTTACTCATCTCTGTATTGGACTGAAGCCAATAGCTAGCTAAACATTTATAGAATAAAGATACCCAAATGTTGCACGTGTCATTTATGTTATTCTTCCATCCATACTAAGAATCTTTTGTCTCTCTTGATTACAGAGGATGATTCTCTCATATTTTCTCCTACAATAGCTAATGAAGCGTGTTGGGTATTAAGGTAATAAAAAGTATAGTGAACGTTGGTGTATTGTCTTTGACGAAGACAACTGGTGTTTGTGGGCCAACATTACATCCAGCACAATCAGGAATTTAGTAACTAATATATGAGTGATGATAAATAAGACACTTGTGCAACATTTGAGTATCTTTATTCTGAAAACATTTTGCTTGCCAGTGGCTAGCAAAACGTTGGAAGATGAGGAGTTTGAGGTAATCAGCCTCTCAGTCTGAAGTCTCTTCAGTACATCAATCTTGATACGAGTGACTAGGGCTGGGTTTGATTAGTACCTGATGTAATGAAGCAAATTCTTGGGTAGCCCTGGGAAAAGGTTAGACAAATAGGTGGGTGGGAATGTTTGGTTCTGAGAAAGACATGGCCAGTATGGGCCAGCAGGCTAACTAGCCCTAGTGCTGGCATCTATAACCTCCCACACGAGAGTGCAACAGACTCCAAAAGACTTAGATACTTGGGGAAACACATCAGGGAAAACAAGTACACATAATGAGGAATAAGACATTATCAAGGGTAAGGAGGAGCTTGAATGCAAGGTTCTTGCAGTGCAGACCAAATATGACTTCAGGAATAAAATGATGATTGAACCAGTCCTCAAATAATTCCTCTGTCATCCATGCTGACTGGTCTGACCACCAGTTAACAGGCAAAGTGATTTTGTTTTTCTGTTTTAAGGCACGGGGATTCAATGAGCGATAAACAGGTATGGGTCTGCACTTAGTCACCTGTTACATTTGCGCAAAGCAGCAAATAAAAAGAGGTTCAGGGCACATGAAGGAAACTGGCCCACTTCAGCCATGGTGAAGGCTGGCCAAGTCAGAACACAAGATAGAAATAGGTAGAGCCTATGTGAAAGGTAGCAACCTTCAGCACAAAAGGTGGAAACAGATACAAAATGAATCATGAAGAAGGAAATGTAGACAAAATGAAGTGTGGTCTTCTCACTCACTCACTCTTGCACAGCAATATCATGTACCATTATACTGTATTTTACTAATATAATTGGAGATACTTGCCTATGCATAACATGTACTCCAAGAGCATGAAACTTTTTTTAACATTATCATATTTAAACAAGATTCAAACATTTCTTTAAATCATTTCTGTCATTCATCTCAAACAAAAATTCCTCCACATTTTCCTATGAAGCATTGACATGCCTCATTCTGACTTTAATTTGGTGAGTATCAGACTATTATTAAGCAGAGTAGAATTTATTACATAAAGCACAATGTTTATCATACATGTTGGGACTAAATATATTTTGCCGAACCGTGATCTTTAAAGATGCGCCTAAATTATATTTTCTTTCAACTGACTCATAGTGTAAATAAAGTATTTTCTGTTGTGCAAAGAGGAAACATTTTGTTGGAAAAAAAAAAAAAGCTAAAGGCATGTCTCATGATGCTGCAGAAATCTTGGAAGAAAGCAATGGACACTGATATAAGAGGTAAACTCACTGATGGAGGAATATGAGTTGATGATGTTACATCTGAGGATAAAGATAAAAACAGTGATGACCAAGGTGAAAAACATTAATCCTTTCAGTGGCCATCATTTAGAACTATGTCACTGAGGCGAGGGTCCCTCACACAGTTTTACATCATTAGCTCATCTCACTCACATAAGCTGTGAGCGGTAAATTTTGGCCCAGATATGAGAGAATGGGTCTGCACAATGAGTGTTCAGTGTAAAAAAGAAATAAAAAGGCATGCCCAATAGGATAGGATGGGAAAAGCAAAACTCTGACCATGAGTTTGGTGTAAAATAGCAACTCTTAGGTGTTTTCTAGGATGATTTCCAGTTTTATTGCCTTCCTTGGTATCATTTGATGAAACAGAAGACATACTACTGAAACAGTGATGATTTTGACTGGTTTCAGGAGCAGAAGTAACCTGAAATTGGGCTTAAAAGTAGCAGAAATATTCAATTTTTGCCAATTTTCCTGAGACTGGGTGAGGCGCCCCATACACCCCTGGTCTATTAAATGGATTTTTAATAGGTCTGATTAATTACTGGGTTGCTCTAAACAATGACCAATCATTCCTGGTTATATTTCATTTTCTGGGAAACTGAGTAAATTTTCTATTTTTGTGTGATAATTCAAAACGGAAGGCAAATGGAGATGTGATTAATGAGGAGAAAAAATGTGTTAGTGCCAGGAATGTCTACATTGTTCATTTTACACTATTTTTAAACTGTGTAAAACTGGCCAAATTACCGCCTTCTGTACACTTTATAGGGTAGTTGTAATAGTTGAATGGGCGGTTTTTTCTGCCCAATCAATAGAATGGAAGGCATACCAGTGAAATAGCTAAGAATTTGGTCAAAGGGACTATTGAATCAGACTTAAAATAGAAATCAAAGTCAGCGAAATCACTGGTGTAAATTGTACCCAGACCACTTCACACCTGTGTAATTCCGTAGTTTTCCATCAAATTTCGTACTTTTGGCATCATTACCTTCAGAAAAGGATTCTCTACCATTTCAGAAAAAATGGTAGAGAATTAGTACTGCTCCCAGTGGACGCTGAGAGCAATATTAATTTCAGGGGTCTGGACAGTGGAAGGGTTAAAAGCTGTGTCCATAGTTGAATGTTTAAGTTTGTATGGGCACTTTAATTATTGATTTTGAGTGAAAAAATGTCATACCAGTATAACAAAATTACCGTATGCCAATTTATAGGATACAAGATATCCTGATCAAACAGAAGCAAAAATGTACTAAAGAAAGTAGCTCAAAAGTGTTGGCTAGGTTTTCCCATTATAGAAGAACTCAGTTTCTCTCCACTCTAGTGGGTTTCCTTCTTTTGGCAATAATATCAGTGCCACATATTTTTTCTATTTCTATTTTCATGTTTGTGATCTAACCAGTGGCATCCACACAAGATATTTCAGCAGAGACCTGTTATGTAAGCTTAACCTCAAACTAGATGTAATTTTCCTAACTTACCCCAACGTAACATTTGAAAGCAGAGTTAAGGATAAGGGGGTAAGTAAATAAAAAATATAATATATATATTTAATCTACATCCTGTACATTCTCTAAATATTTCTCTGAAAACTGGCTCCCTGTTTTGGTCCTAAGGGTGCAAGATTGAGGGTATATACCCATACCATCACTTATTCTCACACATACATCCTCAGTGCTTGTGGCCCACTTGTCTTGGTACAATATACTTGTACCTTCTTCTCAACCCACACCAGTTTTACTACTCATTTCAATGCTCTGTAATTTTTTCATTGTCCCCACCTCACCATCGTGTACTACAGCATTTTTCCCCTTGTATACCTAAATTATTCTCTCAATATACTAAATTATTTTGATCTTACTAAAAGCCAAACACTATTATAAAGTCAAAAAAGTTAAAATGTCTTACATGTTTCTTCTTCTTCTTTGAAGGAGATTCATCACCACTGTCTTCTTTTTGACCAGACAGAGCATCTCCTTCCCGTGGTGACCATGGTTCATTCTTAGCCATTGACAAGTCAATGCCTGATGTTTGAGTCATATCATCATCATCTTGAGGTTCAACTTCATGTTGTGAGGTATGCAGTACAGGTTGTGTATGAGAAATAGGTGGTCCATCTCCTGGCAGGTGTTGTGTGTCTCTGGTTCCTCTACTGTCACATGCACTGCTTGTCAACTTCATTTGTGTGCTCTCTGTATCTGTGATTCTGGTATCTACTTGGTTTCCACAGTAAAACTGGTCCTCAGGTGATTTGGTACTACCTCTTGGGTTATCCGTGCAAGGCACATTTAGTGGAGATGTTTTAGAGTTAGTATTTGGAGAGGCAGCAGTACCCATAAATTTTTTTATAGATATATTGGATCGTATTCTTGATAAACCTTTCACCTCTAACATATCTGCTACTTCCAATACTCTCTCCATGAGGCTATGATCCACCTGCAAAACAAAAATTTAAATACATATAGTATATACTATTATATACACTGCACATTTATACATATGCAGTAAACAATATACAGTCATGTACATTAGTAGTATACATTAGTAATGAACATTTTAACCCTTTGACTGTTTCTGACGCATATACACCTACCATCCGACTTACGACTGAGTTCAGTTCCGAGAAACCGGTCATAAGTCGAAATGGTCGTAAGTCGAACTTTACTACTGAATATCAACATAACATTTTTGTAATGACTTTATTTTATTGTTTTATTTTGGTATTTCATGTTTTACTTTACTTTTTATCCTGTTAGTACTGTATTTTATACTGTAAGGCTTAGGATAAACACTGTGTACAACACAAATAGTTGTTTATTTCCCAGAAATTTGGCATAAAAAACACGGTCCTTAGTCGAGTGGTCATAAGTCGAGCAGGTTGTAAGTCGGATGGCAGGTGTATATGTCTTACGAGCCAGTGTTTTTGGCATATTTATACTCCAAAATCCTAGTGGCTTCAAATCAAGTGAGAGAAAGCTGGTAAGCCCACATGTGAAAGAATGGGTTTGTGTGGTCAGGATGCACAGTATAAAAAAAATCCTGCAGCATGCAGTGCATAACTAGAAAAAAAACTTCAACCGTGTTTTTGGATTAAAATGCTGACTTTGAGGTGTATTTTCGTATAGTATTTATGGTTGTATTCTCGTTTTCTTGGTCTCATATATATAGAATGGAAGACATGTTACAGAAAGAGAGAAGATTTAGATTGGTTTCATGATGAAAAGGACCTTGAAATTGAGCTCAAAGTAGCGGAAATGTTTGATTTTTGCCGATGTTCAAGAGTAAACAAATGACATCACTGTCCAATAAGTGCCCAACTAGCCATTCTAATATGCAGTCATGAATGGGTTGACATCATTTATACAATTATTACAATAATGCAGTAGTCTGCATAACAGCAAATCTATTTTTTTGTGTGAATAAAAATTCAAAACAGAAAGCAAGAGTAATATAAGAGGGGCCTGGAGACGTGACTGATGAACAGAGAAAATGTTATTTTAGTGCCAGGAATGTCTGCAATGTTCATTCTGGACCCTATTCTGAAATTGGCATCTTTTTTAATTTGCATGAAATTGCCCAAATTTCCAATATCTGACCACTTTATTGGGTAGTTGAAATCAGTAAATGGGCAGTTTCTTGTACTCAATCAATAGAACAAATGGAGTTCTAAAGAAACAGCTACAAGTTTGGTGGACTGGAACAATGGAATTGGCCGAAAATAGGGATCAAAGTAGGTAAAATTGCTGATGCGTAAATATCGCCGAGATTGCTAACTTCTCAAGAGCGTAACTCCGTAAGTTTTCCATCAAATTTCATACTTTTTTAATCATTACCACCAGGAAAAGATTCTCTATCATTTCATAAGTTTTTTTTTTTTAAATTCTTTAACACAGAGCAAGTTTGTGAGCAGGGGTCTCGACAGTCAAAGGGTTAAATGCTATTTTCAAATCCTTTCAGTTTATATCATTGATTCCCAAAGTGGGTGGTACTGTCCCCCCGGGAGCACTGGAAAGGCCGGGGGGACGCACAGCAGTGTGGTATCAGAACCAAGGGAGCATTTGCTTTATAAAATCTATATGCAAAAAGCTAAGTCAAGAACACTTAAGTAACATTAAGTGTTTTATACAGAATAAAATTAACAGAGTTATACACAATAGTTTCATTTTATTTTGTTGGCCGAAGTTGGAGTTAAAAGTCTGAAAGTTGTTGAACAGTTAAATTCTTCCACTTTTCTGTCCGGGTTACAGTTATTCAAACGTAACATTGATGACCTTCAAGTGTACGTATTGTGTACACCTGAATGAGCTGCTAAGAGACATATCTAGCAGATTTCAGGATCTTGTTTTACTTAAAATAGTACTAGACTGGGTGATCAGTCTAATCCTAGATACCAGCAATGAGGAAATAGGAATAAATAACAAAACAAGGCACAATACCATGACTGAAAGAATACACAAATAACCTGCACAGAGAAGAGAGGAGCTTACAACTTTGTAAATGGTCCAAGTCGGACTGAAACGCTGTTGTAAGCTCCTCTCTTCTATGTGCGGGTTATTTGTGTATAGGAAATAGGAATGGAGGATGAAGAACTGATTTCACTCCAAAATGACACTGAGCTGAGGTCAAAGTTCAAAAAATCATATAAAAATTGTTGGTTACACAAAAACATTTCTGACTGCTACCGTGCACTGTGGAACGAAGTCAAGATGTACTTTATTGCCTTCCCAACATCATATTTAGTAGAGAGAGGCTTCAGTGCAGTTGTCAAGCTTCTTTCCAAGCAAAGAAATAAACTAAAAATTAATGGACACAGGGATCTAAGACTTCTTCTTAGAACCCTCAAGCATATCCATCTCATTAAAATTGTATAGACAATGTAGTTAGAGATGAGATGTAACTCTACCCTTTCATATTGTTAAATGAATTGGTTTACTATGTTAATATTTATTTGTGAAATCAATATACTTGTTTACAGTGTTAGATTAGTTGTTTTGAATTTGCAGTAAACTTAATACCAAGAGAGAGGCATGTGGGGGTGCTAGGGATGTGGCCTGGGAGCCTAGGGGGTGGCAGCCTGAAAAAGTTTGGGAACCACTGGTTTAAATCAACAATAGCCATTGTGCAATATCATCCATTCACTATTTTTCATTGGTAAAGCTGATCCTTCAAAATGATTAATATAATTTTTTTTTTCAAAATGCTATTCTAGGAATGAGAAAATAAAATGACAATGTTGCTATTGCAATATACATTGGTCCTCGAGTTGATTGTCTTGAATTATAATAATTTTGAGTTACAATTTACCCCAAGGAATTTAGTTTTGAGATGCAATAAAAAATTTGAGACAGGACATGCGTACGATGGTTGGCAAGCATGGGTGGGCCTCAGCCCAGAGACAAGACACAATGATGAAAAGTTCTTAAATAGACTGATGGTAGAGGATGTATTAGAGGAGACTGGGATGGAGGGGGAGGGGGTTGGAGTAAGTGGTGGTGGGAGTAAGAGAGGATGGAAGAAAGGAAGGCAAGGAGGGAGGGAGAGTGTATATGCCAGACACTGGCAGTGGGAGGCTGCAACAACAAGCGTAAATATTGTGACAAATGTAAATATGTATTGCAATAACAAGAGTAAATACTAAGCCAACAATTTTTTACCAATCTCTGCCTGCCTGCTTGCCCAACCCTGTCCTGTCCTGCTTGCTCTGGCCTAGCCTGGCCTACCCTGCACTGACTGCCTGCTTGCCTGCCTTAAATGGAGTAATGGTAGTGGAAGATATGGGGAGTGGTGGGAATGAGGGAAGAGTAGAAGGGAGTAAGATTGGTCGTGTATCAGATGTAGGTAGTGTAAACATTAAATCTACAATTCTTGACCAATCTCTGCCTGCCTGCTTGACTAAACCTGTTCTGTCCTGCCTGCTCTGCCCTGGCCTAGCTTGGCCTGTCCTGCCCAGCCTGCTCTAGCCTGTCCTGCCCAGCCTGCTCTAGCCTGTCCTGCCCAGCCTGCTCCAGCCTGTCCTGCAAAGCCTGCTCTGGCCTGTCCTGCCTGGCCTGCCCAGCCTGCTCCAACCTGTCCTGCCCAGCCTGCTCTGGCCTGTCCTGCCTGACCTGTCTTGTCCTGTCATACCCTGCCTGCTGTGGTTGGCTGCCTGCCTTGCCCTGGTCTGGTCTGCCCTACCTTGCCAGCTCTGACCTTCCTTTCCTTCCCTAGCATTCCCTGTCCCCTTTGCCCTGTCCTGTCACTTTGCCTGGACATAAGCCTATGAAACATAGGCTTACTCTGCTGCTGGGTGTCAATTACTCTGGATTTCAAGCCGAACCCAATGCTTGTTTAGTATTCAGAAAACTCTAGTGCTTAAACAGAAAAAAGTACACAAGGGCAAAGTGGGTACTCTGGCACCTTTGAACGAATTTACAATAATACCATGTATTTTAGGGCTTGAGTTATAATAGCTTTTAGGCACAATGTCTTCTGGAACAGATTAATATCATAGCTCATTTGACCAGCGTCTTACTAAAATCTCTTACATTTAGATACTCTATGGGTAAAATCACTTTTTACAAAATAATTAATAAAAAAGTCATGGATGATCAACAAATTTCTTAAGAACTTAAACTTTGAAGGTCACTGTAAGCAGCGCATTAGCGTGTTCCTTCAAAATTTTGAAAGAATGACAGCTCTTAACAAAGAACTTGATTATTTTAGCAGAGACTCTATGGAAGAGAATTATTATTATTACAATTATGTACTGGAAAAGTGCTAAACCCATCAAGGCCATATAGTGCCAGGAGAATAAAAGGAAATTTAGGACTCAAGCTGGGGAAAATGGAGGGAAGCTCCAATTCTTGCAATCAAAACCCCTTCCCCTTCCTCCATAGAAGAGATTTTTCATTACCATTCCTCGCTACAGTTACCATATCTTATGGAGAACAAGACGCTCCAGTGTCGAGGATGCCCTCCCCCCATCCCCCAATTCCTGCTGGCTAAAAAAAAAAACTGCTTTAACCTCCAAGATTCTGGGTAAATTTTCGAGCTTAAATTTGGAAAAAAATTGTCTTCGATGCTGTAAAATACAGTACTTATACCCCCATTTAACAGACTACCACAATGGGAGAGAACTGTCAAAGTGTCCATTAAATCAGAATGTTAAAATATAGTACAAGCGTACTCAAGTATTCTACTGTATAGCTATTATAGTACTATTCACACAATTTAGTTATAATGCAATAAACACTGACAATGAAGGAGTTAAAAATATGATTTCCCAAGTGAATTTTTCACATTTTCTTTTTCTTTCTTTTTTTGGGTCACCCTGCCTCGGTGGGAGACGACCGACTTGTTGAAAAAAAAAAAAAGTATGTTATATCAAGGTTTTATTATACCTTATTTTATAAGCATATTCTTTGAAGCAACTACACCTTGCTAAGAGTACAGAATATAGAATGTCAAGTATTACTGACAAGTATGGTAGAAAAAGACTTTGTGCACAGCAAACCTTGACCACAAATGTTTCAGTCTGGGTAGAACTTGATTAAGCTCTATCAAGAGCAATAAAACCATTCTAAAAAGCACCTCAAAATCACCATATGAAAAACACAAAGTCAGATGTTTCCTTTTCCCATTATGCACTGCATGGGGCAGGATTATTTTTTATATGCACTCACCACACAGACCCTCTCTCTCATGTCTAGATCAAAATTTACCACTCACAGCATATCTGAGAAACCTGTGCTTAAAAGTTGGATCTACGTCAGTGATGTTGGTGTCAATAATGTAGATGTATGTAAGAGAAAGTGAAAGAGCTAAGTAAATTAACAACCTTTTATGACAATAAATGCTTACCTGGGTGTTCCCTTGGTACATGTAGTCTAACAGACAGCTCATTTCACGGAAACTGGCTCCTCGTAGAACTATCATTGGATATTGATCTGAAGTCACTTCTGACAGCACTCTTTGAAAATATGCAGAGGTGGAAGCTAAGATAGCTTGATGGGCTTTCATAACAAAACCATCTTCAGTAACCAGTGTGACATCACAAAAATGTTCCTCCAACCTCTGTAGTGTAAGGATCTGTTGTAAAGATTCAGTTATTAGCATGAATGATAAGACAAAATAAACTTCCATACACTAAGTTTGTAAAAGTACTTTTAATGCAGTAAGTTTAACTAATAGAAATAGCTTATAAACAAGATTATGCATTTTTAAGACACCAGCCATCTCCCACTGAGGTAGGGTGACCCAAAATAAGAAAACCTTTTCACTGTCATTCATTCAATAACTGTCTTACCAGAAGTGTGTTGACATCGCAGCTCAGGTGACATTCTGAACTGCATCATTCCTACCCCTCCTTCAGAGTGTAGGCACCACACTTCCCACTCCAGGACTTAAGTCCTGCTAAATCTCTTGATAAATGTTACTTTGCTTACAAGCCAACACCACTTCAAATCATAAAAACCACTTGCCTCTACTCACTCCCATCTAACACAGCCATGATGGATGTCCAAGAATCCCTTACCCCTTCCCTTCAAGCCTTCCTGGGACAACCCCTAACTCTCCATTCCTGATTTACAGATCTTCTTGGTGATCCCATTTTGCTCATCCTCTTTAAATGTATAAACCATCTCAACAACCCCTCCTCCACCCTCTGAGTAATACCTTTAGTAACACTTTTTAAATACCAAGTTCTAAATTCTCTGAAAAATGTTCACACCCCACACTGCCCTCAAAATATCGCTACCTTCAGACTCTACCCACATTTAAAATACATGCTTCACAGCATGATCCACCTTTTTTTCTCTCCTCATCAATTCTATAGTTCGCCTCATCTCTCAGACCAATCTGTCAACAGTCCACTCCCAAATACCTTAACACATCTGCTTTCTTCATATGCCCTCCAATCTGATATCCAATATTTTATTGCCTAGATTATATATTATACTCATTACCTTGTTTTTTCCATGCTCACTTTTAATTTCCTGTTTTAACATATCCTCCCAAATTCTTATACAGTACCAACTTTTGGAACTTCTCAGAATATCCCAGGAGAACAGCGTCATCAGCAAAAAGTAGCTGTGCTAACTCCTACATTGTATAAGATTCTTTAGCTTCTTTGGATGTTTATCCATACTGTTCCATAAAGGAGACTGAGGTGTATAAGCTTACCAACATTAACTGGCCACTATATATAATAACTATGGACATGGTATGGAAAAATGTGAGACCCTTACTTGAGGAAATATTTTTGAAAATAAGCTCGACTCTTATTTACAGTTTTACACTGTTTTAAAGCACAATATATTATCTTATGCTAAATAGGATTAAAATTTCTTAAATTTAATGGGAAAGGAATGCATAGCCATCTAAATCCTAATAACACTTAACCTTAGACACATGTTGCATGTGGTCATTCCAACGGAAACGAAGCTGTTGCTCAGTGCTAACTGCAGCCATGTCTACCTGAAATATATGCATTATAATCAATTATGGAGCAAATACACCAGGGTATTCATTAATTATACTACAAAACTCATTACATAATACTTAACAACAGTTAACTAATCCCTAGGTACATACTTACTGCTAGATGAACAATGACAGGAGACAAAAGGAGACAGAAGTCTCTTAGGTGACAAAAGGCGAGACAAAAGGAGACCTTCGTTTTACCTTGCCTAGAAATCAAACCCAGGTCCTATTTGCAAGCCAAATCCTCTATTATTGAGCCATACATCACCATAAAGAACCAATCTTAACCTTTAACCCCTTGACTGTTGCAACCCCCAATTCTGAGGTGTCTCCTGGTGTCGCAAAATTTAAAGAAAAAAAAAATAATAATAATAAATAATAATAATAATAATTTTTCTTATGAAATGATAGAGAATCTTTTCCCGATTGTAATGACACCAAAACAACGAAATTTGATGGAAAACTGACGGAATTATGCTCTCGCGAAGTTATGACCTCGGTGATATTTACAAATTGGCGATTTCGCCCACTTTGAGCCCTATTTCAGTAATTCTGTTGTTCCAGTCGACCAAATCATAGATATTTCTTTAGAACTTCCATTTTTCTATCGTTGAGTACAAGAAACTGCCCATTTGCTTTCAACTACCCAAAATGTGGCGAAATTTGCAATTTTGCCAATCACGAAAATTAAAAAATATGCCCCAAATTTTAAAATAAGTCTAGAATGAACAATGCAGACATTCCTGGCTCTAAAATAACATTTCTTTGTTCATCAGTCATGTCCTCCAGGCCCCTCTGATTTACTCTTGCTTTCCCATTTTGATTTTTTATTCAAACAAAAAATAGAAGACTACTATTATGCAGACTATCAATATGTAATAATTGTTATAAATAACACAACCCATTCAAGACTGCATATTAAAGGCTAGTTGGACATTTATTGGACAATGACATTTGTTTACTTTTGAACATTGGCAAAAATCAAACTTTCCCCTACTTTGAGCTCTATTTCCAGGTTCTTTTTATAGTAAAATCAATCAAAATCACCTCTATTTCTATAATATGTTTTGAACTCTATCAAATGAGACCAAGAAAACGAGAATACAACCATAAATACTATACAAAAATAGACCACAAAGTCGGCATTTTAATTAAAAAAAAAAACGGTCGGAGTTTTTTTTCCTCATTATGCACTGTGCGCTCCAGGATTTTTTTTATATGGTGCACACTGACCACACAGACCCATTCTCTCACATGTGGGCCTACCAGCTTTCTCCTGCTTGATTTGAAGCCGCTAGAATTTATGAGTATATATACGTCAAACACGGTACCTCGTAAGACGTATATATACGGCCGCGACAGTAAAAGGGCTAAACTGTCCCTAAATTGAAAGCCCCCCTTCTGTGTCTACAAATCTGAAGAAATAAAAAAATAATTATTTTATCTTCTAAAATGGTTAAAGAGGGAATTTTAATAATGATGACACCAAAAACTTCAAAATGTTTGGACTGGGGTGTGTGTGTTGGGGGGGAGGGGAAGCAGCTCATTCCTGGGTAGAATAAAATTATTTTAAAAAATATTAATTTTTTTTTTCTTTCAAAAACTAAGAGCATAATTCAAGGAATATTCTGGTGCTTAAAATTTGTTTCTATGATTTTTCTGAGCCAAGTCATCAGAAACTATTTTTGCCGGAATACAATTTTGTGACAAAATCTTAGTGCAGTATTATTATTTTTTTAACATTGTTTTGGTGTTTTGTGGATAATTCTTCCATTATTTCTCAATTTTTTGGTTTTAATGAATAAAAATCATTATTAACTGTCTGAAGCAAAAATGGGTGGCCTGAAGAAAAATTATAGCCATTTGAAGATGCAAAATAGATTACCAGGGATTTATTTCTTCATCTGCAACTACCTGGAAGTATGTTTTTTGGATATTTGCTTGTGTGCTTCAAATTTATTGAAGATCATAAAATTTTTTGATTTTATATAAAAAGTAATTGTTTTTTAAACCCCCAAAAACGGTCCAAAACGTTATATAGTCACGCGCGTAGCCCCCCCAAACAAATATATACGTTTTCTTTGTCATTCACTCAACATTGCCACAATAAGCCTGAGTCACCTAGACATGAGAGAATGGGTGTGTGCACTCACTGTGTTCCATATTAAAATAATTGGGGATGCCTGGGTACCATATGCTCTTTTTTCCTTTTTAAAAAGAAAAGATTTCTTTTTCCTCAAAAAATTTGGGGGGTGCTCGCGATAAACGTACATATACGTTTGGACCGTTTAAGGGTTAATTCCAGATTGAGACTCGTCAAAATTCCTCTCAAAATATTTTTTTTTACTGGCCTTTATTAAAAAAAAAGAAAAATGATGAATTTTCATAATTTAGACATTACACAAAACTCAACTAACCTATTCATAATCGTGTGCACTCAACTGTAACACCTTACTGTGTATGCATGAGGGTTGCAACATAAAAAGAATATTTATTTAAATTTTTATATTTTCAGGACTATCATGAAACTAGGACACTTTCAAATTGCCACATGGACACTTTCAGTAAAAATAATTAAATAGAACAATAAAGAATATAGCTTGAATGAGCCCCAGTAACTGTCCCAGTAACCAAAGCTGGCCCAATAAAAATTCGTAAAACAAACCAGGAAGGTAAGAGGAATCCCTACCCATCCCCGAAGAAAATTGCCCAAAATTGAGTTTCCCCCATTTTAACATCTATTTCAGGCCATTTCCAGTCCTAAACTTACCATAAAACTTCTCAACTTCACTAATATGTCTTTCATTCTATCTACTGAAACCAAAAATAGCAAAATGGCCTCAAATGGAAATAAGATAGTCACCAGCCCTTATGGAAAGTCAAGACAGTCATCGATGACACACTGACTTGGGTTATGCTGCATGACTAACCCTCCAGGTTAAAAATCCAACCAAATCTTATCTTATGGTCCTCAGACAACATAATTGATTGAAACTAAATATATCAGCCAGTGCTGGCTAGTTTTTTCAAAGGATTCTAAATGATGTAAAGAGGAACTTGGCAAATCATTAGCCACTCTCTTCAACAGATCACTACAAACATGTATTGTACAGGATGTGGAAAATGGTAAATGCGATACCCATCTGCAAGATGAGACAGGTCATTAGCTTCCAATTATGCTAATCAGCCTAACTTCAATTGTGGGGGAAAGATGATGGGATCATTAATTGCAAATGTAATTCAAAGCCACTATGAAAGACATAATTTGATCAACGAATCTCAACATGGTTTTACAAGGCAGCAGTCTTTTTACTAACCTTTTTTCCAATAAGCTATTTGAGACAATAGGCCAAAATAAAGAATACAAGTATACAACATTGTTTATATGCCTTTAGTTAGGCCTCTGAGGAAGTCTCACACAGGAAACTGATGAGGAAGCAGCTGCACATGGTATAGGTCAAATTATCTCCTGGGTTGAGTCACTGCCAGATAGGCAACTGTGTGTATAAATGGGAAGAAATCAGAATGGAAACCTATTGCCAATGGTGTGCCATAGAGGTCAGCAATGGGACCCATTTTTGTTCACAATTATGTAAACAATAAAGCTGAAAGAATAAACAATCACTCAAGTAAGTCTGCCAATGATGCTAGAATAAGGCATCAGCTAACTTGATGACATATGTAAGGTTCTAACCCTAAGAAAATAACTAGTTTACCTGGAGAGAGTTCCGGGGCTCAATGCCCCCGTGGCCCGGTCTGTGACCAGGCCTCCTGGTGGATCAGAGCCTGATCAACCAGGCTGTTACTGCTGGCTGCACGCAAACCAACGTACGAGCCACAGCCCGGCTGGTCAGGAACCGACTTTAGGTGCTTGTCCAGTGCCAGCTTGAAGACTGCCAGGGGTCTGTTGGTAATCCCCCTTATGTATGCTGGGAGGCAGTTGAACAGTCTCGGGCCCCTGACATTTATTGTATGGTCTCTTAACGTGCTAGTGACACCCCTGCTTTTCACTGGGGGGATGTTGCATCGTCTGCCAAGTCTTTTGCTTTCGTAGTGAGTGATTTTTGTGTGCAAGTTCGGTATTAGTCTCTCTAGGATTTTCCAGGTGTATATAATCATGTATCTCTCCCGCCTGCATTCCAGGGAATACAGGTTTAGGAACCTCAAGCGCTCCCAGTAATTGAGGTGTTTTATCTCGGTTATGTGCGCCGTGAAGGTTCTCTGTACATTTTCTAGGTCAGCAATTTCACCTGCCTTGAAAGGTGCTGTTAATGTGCAGCAATATTCCAGCCTAGATATAACAGGTGACATGAAGAGTGTCATCATGGGCTTGGCCTCCCTAGTTTTGAAGGTTCTCATTATCCATCCTGTCATTTTTCTAGCAGATGCGATTGATACAATGTTATGGTCCTTGAAGGTGAGATCCTCCGACATGATCACTCCCAGGTCTTTGACGTTGGTGTTTCGCTCTATTTTGTGGCTGGAATTTGTTTTGTACTCTGATGAAGATTTAATTTCCTCATGTTTACCATATCTGAGTAACTGAAATTTCTCATCGTTGAACTTCATATTGTTTTCTGAAGCCCACTGAAAGATTTGGTTGATGTCCGCCTAGAGCCTTGCAGTGTCTGCAATGGAAGACACTGTCATGCAGATTCGGGTGTCATCTGCAAAGGAAGACACGGTGCTGTGGCTGACATCCTTGTCTATGTCAGATATGAGGATGAGGAACAAGATGGGAGCGAGTACTGTGCCTTGTGGAACAGCTTTTCACCGTAGCTGCCTCGGACTTTACTCTGTTGACTACTACTCTCTGTGTTCTGTTAGTGAGGAAATTATAGATCCATCGACCGACTTTTCCTGTTATTCCTTTAGCACACATTTTGTGCGCTATTACGCCATGGTCACACTTGTCGAAGGCTTTTGCAAAGTCTGTATATATTACATCTGCATTCTTTTTGTCTTCTAGTGCATCTAGGACCTTGTCATAGTGATCCAATAGTTGAGACATACAGGAGCGACCTGTTCTAAACCCATGTTGCCCTGGGTTGTGTAACTGATGGGTTTCTAGATGAGTGGTGATCTTGCTTCTTAGGACCCTTTCAAAGATTTTTATGATATGGGATGTTAGTGCTATCGGTCTGTAGTTCTTTGCTGTTACTTTACTGCCCCCTTTGTGGAGTGGGGCTATGTCTGTTGTTTTTACTAGTAACTGTGGGACGACCCCCGTGTCCATGCTCCCTCTCCATAGGATGGTAAAGGCTCGTGATAGGGGCTTCTTGCAGTTTTTGATGAACACGGAGTTCCACGAGTCTGGCCCTGGGGCAGAGTGCATGGGCATGTCATTTATCGCCTGTTCGAAGTCATTTGGTGTCAGGATAACATCGGATAGGCTTGTGTTAACCAAATTCTGTGGCTCTCTCATAAAAAATTAATTTTGATCTTCGACTCTCAGTCTGGTTAGCGGCTTGCTAAAAACTGAGTCTACTTATAAGCTATGTAAATAACAGAGTACTTAGATAAATTGAATGTGAGAAAGACTTAAAAATTCTAGTTGGCAGAAATTTAAATATAAGAGAACATTAAGTGATAGAAACAAAGCCAACAGAATTCTTGTCTACACATCAGTAAGTTTATATCATAGCAGTCCTAAGGCTATGCTTCAATTTTATGTCTTTGGTACAATAAGCCTTATTTTTATTAACACTGCTCAATTCTAGTCTCATTACCACAGAATGGACATAAATGCACTGAAAAATATATAGAGCAGGATGACAATATTGATTCCATATATAAGAAATCATTCCTATGAAGACAAGACAGAAGGCACCAAATCTGTACTCTGGAATAATGTAGTACTCGATATATGACTGAAGTGTCCCAGTGGAAAACAGAAATAAGGGGGTATAAATAACATGCTGAAAGTATCTATGACGTAAGTTACGGCAATGAATTCAAGTTGGACAAATTTAAATTTAGAAAGGTACAGAAAAGTGCTTGTTTGGCAACAATGTTGTAGATGAATGGAGTAAACTCACAATCATCATCAGTAGAATATCAAAATGGTATATATTATTATTATAATAAAAAAGAAGCGCTAAGCCACAAAAATGGTATACAATACCGACAGGTTAGTAAGGACAGGTTGGTAACTGTTGCCTCATAATTTGTAATATTTTAAAATAAAGAATTAAACTAAGTCTGCCCGAAATGCCTAGCCATGCTAGGCGTTCTAGTGGTACACTCTGTAATCATTATTTAACTACATGTAAACCACACAACAACCAAATTCTGTAAATTCAACATTGTAATCTTTATAGAGAATAAACTTTGAATTGAATTGAATTGAATATGTGTCTTACCAACTCTAAGTAGTGGTAGGCCTATTGGCATAAGCCAATAGGCCTATCATTGGCATAAGCCAATAGGCCTACCGAAGTGTTCATTCTTATGTTCTTACATCCCGTCATCATTTTTTGACACAACTTTTTCAACAATGCAAACATGCACAGAAATAAACTGACTGTATATAATGTTAAACACTGTATACAGTGTTAAAGAAAAACAAACCAGCAAATACGGTATATATCAAATTCATCCATCATAAACACTTAAATACGTAAACTTAGTAGATAAGATTATTGATTATTACCTGTCTAATGATGTACTGGTTATCACAAGACTCTCAGTACCTTTCAAGATAAGTAACAATTCTTCATAAGCCAAGTCCCGAACGGGATTCACTGGAAATAAATGTAGGTAAAAATGTGAATAATTTACCATCAGTTAGAGCACACAATAATCAAGTTCTTGGTCTGGGCGTAAACATCACAGTGCTTTAAAAGTGATTTAAAAAAAAGGCCATTTGCAAATTAAAGCTGAATAAAGCAGACCAAGAAAGTTAACGACCGGAAAGTTAGATGTAAGGGTAAGATGTGGCACGTGGATCACCACTGAGTCAACTCACCAGAGCATTACTCATTAGGGACAAAGTATGAGGAGCAGCAGCAGCAGCAGCAGCTCCCTCATCCAACTTTTGTCTCAACAACAAGATGGCGACCACTACAATACACTCCTTGTAAGGAAAACAAAAATCTTTACGCTGCTTAAAGTCGAATGCAAGTAATATTATATAATTGCAGGGGGTAATGAAACAAGTCTATATTCTCAAATTATGTATCCATATTGTCATGCAAATATAAATAAAATAACTACTGCTTAGCGCGGAAAATTTGAACTCTGCCTAAAAAACAAACAAACAAACTTTATTTATTTCTGCAGTATTACAAAACGAAGTTTACATAAATTGAAATATTATTAAGCACAATAGAAAGCCACTAGCATGCAGTACAATAGATTTGACAGCAGAAAATCTACACTACCAAACATCTGGCATTTAACACAACTGATACTAAAATAAGGACGAGGGTTGATGTTGGTGGTTTATTAGTCAGGAAAGAACACAATGCCTCCTAACACTCGTCTTAAATTAACTCTGAATCACATGACCCGTTTTTCTGTCCACCCCCAACTATATTTCACATTCCATTAAAAAAAAGTTATTACATAGTAGTAAAGCCTAAGATATGCTGATACCTTACAGTTATCCTAAATAAAATATATGTAAAAAACAGATCTTTATATAAATAAAAGGAAATTCTTGAAAAATCACGTTTTCTTTGACCCATGTGACGTTTGTTGATATCCGTGTTGTTGATGTCCTTCTGGGAGGCTAGTGGAAGTGAACATCTCTGGGGAACGTTTCTACCAACTCTCATAATGATCAGTGTTCGTTTCCTTCCATAACTGATATGCCATTTTACTTACATACACACTTCCTGCAGAACTATGATGATGGGCTAGATAAAATGATTGTTAATATATTAGTAGGAAAATCTGTAGGGGTCATGCAGAACCTGGGAATAAGAAAAATACTCAGATTTATCTATGGTTAGTTAGTTTAATATGTTTATTATGCACCCCATACCCATTTTGTGGGCGGTAGTCAAAAGATTACAGAGGTACATAATGGGTCCAGGGACTGGACTCCAAAGTTCTGATAGCTGAACAAAGTGCAAAGGTAATGAACTCACAAGTTACAAAGGTAATGAATCATGTAAGTAAATTTACTTACTTACGTTTATACATGGCTACAATCATGAACAAATTATAGAGTAATGAGCAATTTACACGTCCACACCCGGTCACAACTATGAGTTATTGGTGCAGCTATTAATTGTTGGGTCACACGCGCACACACACACACACACACACACACACACACACACACACACACACACACACACACACACACACACACACACACACACACACACACACACATGAAGCTGCTAAGTGACCTTGATACCTCAAAGGCGATGGGACGGGACATCTCCCCATGGGTCCTTAGAGAAGGAGCAGAGATGCTGTGTGTGCCCCTAACCACAATCTTCAACACATCCCTTGAAACTGGGCAACTACCGGAGAAATGGAAGACAGCAAATGTAGTCCCCATATTTAAGAAAGGAAACAGAAATGAGGCACTAAACTACAGACCTGTGTCTCTGACATGTATTGTGTGCAAAGTCATGAAGAAGATTATCAGGAGGAGAGTGGTGGAACACCTGGAACAGAACAAGATTATAAATGAAAACCAGCATGGGTTCATGGAAGGCAAATCCTGTGTCACAAACCTTCTGGAGTTTTATGACAAGGTAACAGAAGTAAGACACGAGAGAGAGGGGTGGGTTGATTGTGTTTTCCTAGACTGCAGGAAGGCCTTTGACACTGTTCCCCACAAGAGATTAGTGCAGAAGCTGGAGGATCAGGCGCATATAACAGGGAGGGCACTGCAATGGATCAGGGAATACCTGACAGGGAGGCAACAACGAGTCATGGTACGTGAAGAGGTATCACAGTGGGCGCCTGTGACGAGCGGGGTCCCACAGGGGTCAGTTTTAGGACCAGTGATATTTTTGATATATGTGAACGACATGATGGAAGGTGTGGAAAATACTGTATATATTTTCCGGAAATACGGTAATTTATAGGTAAATAGATGCCCTATATTGTATTTTTAAAAGAAGTATGTTATCGAAAATGGGAAACCTGCAGCTGGGGAGGGCAGTCGCCATTGTTAATTTGAATTGTATACAACGTTAGTGTAATGGGAAGGAATTTTCGTGCTCTAGAGGTTAAAATTGGGCTGACACCTCTCAAATAGGAGGCGAAATTGTTGGATGTGCATTCCTGCATAACTTGAGATATCAGACGACTGGACAAGACAGCTCCAGGAACCTCAGATAAGTCTTATGTAGTAACCTGGCCAGTGTTATTTTCATAGATAGACAGTGAGGGTTTCTGAGTATGATACACATTAATCTCCAGTCAAATTGGTGAGTGTTATGATTAAGATATATTCTCCTTCTGTTATATAAATGTGTGTATATACTATAATCCTTTTTTAATTTAATATACAGTCCACAAATTTATATATTTACCAGCATTCCTGTTAGTTTTTTTTTAGTTTAATATGTATATTATGCACCCCTTACCCATCCTGTGGGCGGTAGTCAAAAGATTACAGAGGTACATAATTGGTCCAGGGACTGGACTCCAAAGTTTTGATAGTTGAGCAAGTTACAGAGGTAATGAACTCACAATTTACAAAGGTAATGAACTCACAATTTACAAAGGTAATGAACTCACAATTTACAAAGGTAATGAACTCCAGGTAGGTCTGGTTACAATCATGACAAGTTACAAAGGTATTTACAGATTACAGAGGTACGTAATGGGTCCAGGGACTGGGCCCCCAAAGTTTTGATAGCTGAACTAGGTACAAAGGTAATGAGCTCACAAGTTACAAAGGTAATGAATTCTGTAAGAATGGTTACTTACGTTTATACATGCTACAATCATGAACAAATTATAGTGTAATGAGCAATTCACACTTCCACACCCGGTCACAACTGTAATGAGTTATTGGTGCAAATATTGATTGTTGAGTCACACACACACACACACACACACACACACACACACACACACACACACACACACACACACACACACACACACACACACACACACACACACACACACACACACACACACACACACCACACACACACACACACACACACACATACTGGAGTATGCAGCACCAGTCTGGAACCCACACCTGGTCAAGCACGTCAAGAAGTTAGAGAAAGTACAAAGGTTTGCAACAAGGCTAGTCCCAGAGCTCAAGGGAATGTCGTACGAGGAAAGGTTAAGGGAAATCGGACTGACGACACTGGAGGACAGAAGGGTCAGGGGAGACATGATAACGACGTACAAGATACTGCGGGGAATAGACAAGGTGGACAGAGATAGGATGTTCCAGAGAGGGGGCACAGGGACAAGGGGTCATAACTGGAAGCTGAAGACTCAGACGAGTCACAGGGACGTTAGGAAGTATTTCTTCAGTCATAGAGTTGTCAGCAAGTGGAATAGCCTAGCAAGTGAAGTAGTGGAGGCAGGAACCATACATAGTTTTAAGAAGAGGTATGACAAAGCTCAGGAAGCAGAGAGAGAGAGGATCCAGTAGCGATCAGTGAAGAGGCGGGGCCAGGAGCTGAGTCTCGACCCCTGCAACCACAATTAGGTGAGTACACACACACACTGACACACACACACACACACACACACACACACACACACACACACACACACACACACACACACACACACACACACACACACAGGAGCTGAGTCTCGACCCCTGCAACCACAATTAGGTGAGTACACACTCACACTCACACACACCTGGCTCATCCTGGCTTTTTCATTACTCCTGTTACCCCTGGAGAGGTTTGTACCCAAGGGTAACAGGAGTAATGAAAAAGCCAGGATGAGCCCATGGTTTACCCAAAGGTGCAGGGAGGCAAAAACCAAGTGTGCTAGGGAATGGAAGAAATATAGAAGGCAAAGGACCCAGGAGAATAAGGAGAACAGTCGTAGAGCCAGAAATGAATATGCACAGATAAGAAGGGAGGCCCAAAGACAATATGAAAATGACATAGCAGCGAAAGCCAAATCTGACCCGAAACTGTTGTACAGCCACATCAGGAGGAAAACAACAGTCAAGGACCAGGTAATCAGGCTAAGGAAGGAAGGAGGAGAGACAACAGGAAATGACCGGGAAGTATGTGAAGAACTCAACAAGAGATTCAAAGAAGTGTTCACAGAGGAGACAGAAGGGACTCCAGAAAGACGGAGAGGTGGGGCACACCACCAAGTGCTGGACACAGTGCACACAACCGAGGAAGAAGTGAAGAGGCTTCTGAGTGAGCTAGATACCTCAAAGGCAATGGGGCCAGATAACATCTCCCCATGGGTATTGAGAGAGGGAGCAGAGGCGCTATGTGTACCCCTAACAACAATATTCAATACATCTATCGAAACAGGGAGATTGCCTGAGGCATGGAAGACAGCAAATGTAGTCCCAATCTTTAAAAAAGGAGACAGACATGAAGCCCTTAAACTACAGACCAGTGTCACTGACATGTATAGTATGCAAAATCATGGAGAAGATTATCAGGAGAAGAGTGGTGGAACACCTAGAAAGGAATGATCTCATCAACAGCAGCCAGCATGGTTTCAGGGACGGGAAATCCTGTGTCACAAACCTACTGGAGTTCTATGACATGGTGACAGCAGTAAGACAAGAGAGAGAGGGGTGGGTGGATTGCATTTTCTTGGACTGCAAGAAGGCGTTTGACACAGTTCCACACAAGAGATTGGTGCAAAAACTGGAGGACCAAGCAGGGATAACAGGGAAGGCACTACAATGGATCAGGGAATACTTGTCAGGAAGACAGCAGCGAGTCATGGTACATGGCGAGGTGTCAGAGTGGGCACCTGTGACCAGCGGGTCCCGCAGGGGTCAGTCCTAGGACCAGTGCTGTTTCTGGTATTTGTGAACGACATGACGGAAGGAATAGACTCTGAGGTGTCCCTGTTTGCAGATGACGTGAAGTTGATGAGAAGAATACACTCGATCGAAGACCAGGCAGAACTACAAAGGGATC